GCCCAACCTAATATTTATTTTAATGTAAGAAAAAACTAATAACTCAGACTTGTGATTTCATGATATTGCTTAGAAGATTATGTAAAACATTTTTTAAAACATTGATTTAAAGATTGAGTAAGTAATGCTGCTTATTTGATGATGTACCAATTACGAATAGTCTAAGCTATGAAGGACATAAACCCCCAAATTACAATGGCTTAAACAAGGGAACAAATTTACTTTGCTCTCATGTAAAGGAAATCTAGAGTGCTAGAGTATATCTCTACAACCATTAGGGACTCAGGCTCCTTTATGATTTCACTCTTTCATTTCTCAAAAATGGCTTTGACCTTGCTGTCCAAGATGAGTGCTCATGTTCTAGCCATCAGATTGATTTTCCAGCCAGCAAGAAGAGGAAGGGAATGAGAGAGGCCCATATCTACCTTAAAAGGATGTTTCTTGGAAATTACTCGTGGCTAGCTAGATGTGTGGGAGGCTAAGAAATGTCCTTGCAAGGTGATAGGTGTTGCTAAAAATTGGCTCTATTTCTAAAGAAGAGGAGACTGGTATTGGGTGGGGGCAATTGTCAGCCTCCTCCACAGGTAGTACTTAAGTGTTATAAAAATTGTGAAAGTGGTACTCAAATGATTGCAGGTCAAGAAATAGCATTATAGAACGTGAAATTTTGATAGCTTTGATGTGTATGATTTTTGTTTGTTTTTTTTTTTTAATAGTGCCCACTGCCACCCCAGTGCCAACCAATTCTACAGGTAATTTAAGATGGTTAACTCTTTCTTCCTCTGTCTTTCAGTATTTTTAAGCTTTCTTAATGGATAAATTTTTAGTAATTAAATACCGAAAAGTTGTTAGTATAATTTTAAAGTTCAGTAAAGAGTTATTTAGTCTCATACCACAATAATTACATTAATGTGTACCATTTGTGACAGTAACATGTAGCTCCAGTGTTTCACATTTGGTGAATCTTAGCAGATTTGCTCTGGCTTTGTATATTAGCCCACAAAACTGCTTTTTATGATTTTTGTGGAAATAGAATACAAAAGCGTAAAGAAAATTATAGTTCCCATCATGTAGAGATACACCAAAATGTTTTCAGTGGTTAGTTTCTTCTAGTCTTTTCTATGTGTATATCTAAATAAGTATACTTTTTATGAAATTAGATGATAGGCTCATGCACCTTTGTATTTTCCCTCTTCCTTTAAGCGTTTTTCTGTAAGCACACTTTATCCTGCTCTCTCATTCACCATGCGGGGAACATCTTATATGAAATTATACCTGTATGTATCTGTGATAGGACTAATTAAAGCAGAATTGCTACATCAAAGAGTATGATTATTTTAAGACTCTTGATTGCTTTCCACGAAGATGTATGATTTTCATTTCTGTCAACAACTGGGAAGTTTTATCACACTATCAGCAGCATTAGATAATATCTCCTTTTAAAAACTTACTGATTTGATAGGAAGAATAAATAACATTTTGCCAATGTTAAGTGCATCTATTCCAGCAGAAGAACTAGGCTAGGTAGGGATAGGGATAGGGATATAGAGGCAGAAATAAGCCAGCATTTTGTCTAGTATAGGAATAATGAAAGATATCAGTGAGCACATGTGTTGGGGAATTTGTAGGAAAGTGTACTGGGTAGCATGGGAGACTTGATGACAGCTTAGTGAAGATGTTGACTGACTAAAACTACACTGGTAAAATATGGGAAGAGCTTCCCAGATGGGCCAGGTTGGTTGGCACGTGTGGAGATGTGAAAGAGTACAATGAGGTGAAGGAGTGTCCAGTAGAAGTGAGGAGTTAAGCTGGACCTGGTCACCAGGTCAAGAGCAGAATTGCAAAATGCCTTTGTACGCCTTGCTGGTAATCTTAAAAGATTTTAAGCATGTAGGTCATATGATCGTACTTGCATTTTAATAAAACGACTTATTCTGTCATTCTGGAGAGTAGATTGGAAGGAGACCAGAGTGAACTCAGGAAGGTTAGATAACCTGTTACCATAATTCTAGAGAACAAGTAGGGAGGCTACAGGTGTATGCAAATAGGCCTTGAAAGTAGAAGGGTAAGACTTGGTGGCTGAGGGGTAGCAGAGTGGTAAGAAAGAAGGGGAGGAATCTTCACCAAAGTAAGCAAGAGAGAAAGAGCAGCTGATTGGGGCTGTCGTTTGGGATTTTAGTTTAAGGTGCCTGGAGTCCATTTAACTGGGATCTTAATGGATCCATTTTCAGGAAACTAAGTCTGAAGAGAGCTCTGGGAAAATACAGATCATCATAGGCAGTTGTAGAGGCCACCAGAGGAACATAGAGGATGGGTAGGGCTTGAGGAGCAAATTCTAGGAAACAGTATCTAAAGGCTGGGAAGAGGACCTGGGTGGAAACCAAATAGGGTGATGGGTATGGAAGTAAGAAAACCCAGAAAAGTGTATCCAAGAAACTAACAGCATGTGGTTGTAGGTGTAGTTTTTCAAAGGAAAAAGTAGTCCAATGCTATAACAAGGACAAGAACTCAGTTTGAAAGACTTGGACAGTGGTGTGTGGGAGCTGGCTTGAACCAGTTTTTGCTAGCCAGTTGTGCACAGCTCTTGCCAACCCTGTGCTCGGTGATATCATGTTGGTAATTTGAAATTGGCTAATGTGGAAATAACAATGACATGGAAATCTGCAAATGCTACAAAACTTATTTTGAGCTGATTATTATACAGTGGTATGCTCATAAATGTTTAGCACCCATTACAAATCATTGACTAAGGAGGATGTTCAAGATTGATGAAAGCAGAGGTGTTGGGAGAAAACTCATTTCCAGAAAGGCAGGGTGTGAACAGAGAGAGGGCTAGACAATTTCCCCCAAACCATTGTAGGTTCACTTTGAATTTCTTCTCCTGTGAGTCTACTCTTGGTGTAGTTCTCTGATGCTTGCTCCATCCTGGGTCCTCCTGTGAACTACTATGAGTTTTTTACCTGTTTTTATTTCTGTAAAGTGGAAAGAAGTAAGGGCTTGCCTGCAGAAAATGTATCAGTTGACCAACACTTTAGGTGGTCTCTACATGGCTGTGCATGTTGCTTCCTCTGAAGAGAACAGTGAGAAATTAAGGGACAGTTAAGGAAACAGTACAAAGAGAATCTGATTTACGTCGAAAGATGTGTAATGAGGTTAATGATAATGGCCCTCCCCCAATATATATATATATATAATACAAATATCTAACGGCAGAAGGACCAAAATTTGTCAGAGATAGAGGGGAAAATGTTCATAATATGTTAAGTAGAAGATAAAACTGTATTAAACAGTTCTAGTACAATTTTAGCTTTTGTTATATGCACACCTAGAAAAATGTCTGGGAGAAGTAATTTGTTACTCTGGGTGGTGGGATTTCTTAAATACCTTTACTGTATTTTCTGAATTTTCTTATGACCAACAGCAACTTTTTGTAACCTATGAATTATTTTTTTTTAGAATGATAGTGACATATTGCAGGTTAATAGAAGTATATTCCCTAAATAATGGCTTTATTTTGAAAATGTTATCCAACCTAATACTTTTTTCAAAAAAATGAATGTTAAAAAAAAGTTTTGCCTATTTACAAAAAGAATTAGTTTTTGTCATGTTCTGAGGGTGGTAGTAAGAACCAAATAGCAAATTTGCAGAATTTTTTTTCCCCTAACACTATCAAACAAAATTAATAATAGTGTTTTAAGATGGAAAATAATTGTTTATTTAACTTTTAACTGTATTTTTTGCAGTTACACATAAAATAAACTTATGTAAGCAATAAAAACCTTGAAGGGAATAATGAGTCTTAAAATCATACCCTCTACTCTAGGAATTCTGTATAAGAATCAGTCCTGTCAAAGATGAGATCAGATATTTCCCTATAAGATATTCATGGCATGGAGAAATGAGGGTGAGAGAACTGTTGCATCAAGAACAGGATGGATAAAGTACGTACAGCAATGTTCAAAGCAAGAGGGAAAAGAAAACAAATGTGTATGAACATAGCCATCAGGATTATTAGCATATCATCTATTAGCTTCTGTTAGTATCACTACAAATAGAGAAGTCCAACTAGAGCTTTCAGAAATACAGAAAAGACTCCCTTTTACTCATGGTCCTATAAAAATGAGAATACCTTAGCTTCATAGGATCCCTGTCAACCTGGGAGTATGGGCAGTCTACCTGTTATGAGAGTCCTTGTCTTTATAGATCTACTTTTTAGTGATACTCTTACACTGTCAATTCCTACTCTTATTAAAAACAGGACTTCCTCTTTTTTATCAGTGGAATTTGGGAGGATGCTTACTCCTATTTTTCTTTTATTTTTATCAGTTTAAAAACAATATAACACAACGAAAGATTACTTCATCTCTAATGCTTTATCAACAATTATTTGGCACCCTTTCTCTGTCTTTTGTGAATTAAGCATATCACTTCGAAGTCTCTTCAGTTAACGTACTTTACGCAGAAGTAGCATTTGTTTCCAAATTCTCTTTAGTCTTCAAATCCATTTTTCTGAAACAGTGCAAAAACTAACATTTGTATATATAGCACCTTACATTTTCTTTTCTTTTCTTTTTTTTTTTTTTTTCAGACAGAGTCTCACTCTGTTGCCCGGGCTAGAGTGTGTGCCCGTCAGCGTAGCTCACAGCAACCCCAGACTCCTGGGCTCAAGCAATCCCACTGCCTCAGCCTCCCGAGTAGCTGGGACTACAGGCATGCACCACCATGCCCAGCTAATTTTTTATTTATATATTTTTAGTTGTCCAGCTAATTTCTTTCTATTTTTTTAGTAGAGATGGGGTCTCGCTCTTGCTCAGGCTGGTTTTGAACTCCTGAGCTCGAACAATCCACCCACCTCGGCCTCCCAGAGTGCTAGGATTACAAGCGTGAGCCACCACGCCCAGCCCATTTTTCATAAAAATATAAAACGCTTTCATGCTGAGTTTGTATTAAAAAGAAAATAAATGTATATGAACTTCATGTGATTAATCTTCCTTATCTTCCTCCCAGATCATCCCTAGTTGCCCACTGAAGTAAGCAAATTCTCCTATTGAAGCCCCTGCACTCTAAAGCCTGACCGACCTAATTATTTCCTGAGACACGATAAGGAACTCTTTTAGCTAGTAACTCCTTGCCTAGAGCATGTCCTCTTACTTTCCAAATATTTGGACCCTAACTTTAAGGACAACCTCTTAGTGAAACCTTTCTCAAATGCAAACTTTAATCCATTAGTAACTAGCTCTTTGGACTAGGAAAAATGTTACTTTGTATGAACTATATCCAGGACCTTCCTTTCTAATACTGGTATAAGAACACTTATAGATGACTCTTTGTAATGTACATTAAAAGAGAGCTTCAGTTCCTAAAATGATTTTATATTCAAACTAATTCTTCTCAGAGTGTGCACTTATTTAGAGGCATCATAAGATAATATTTTGGCCTCATGCAGTGTGGTTGACTAGGCTCTTATAATTTATGTTGGGAAACTGTGGCCCTTGGGCACCTGTTCTTATAAATAAAGTTTTATTGGAACACACCGTGCCCATTAATTTGCATGTTGTCATTGGCTGCTTTTGCATCACACGGTGCACAAAGACTAAAATGTTTGCTATCTGCCCCTTTAAGAAAAGTTTGCCAGTCCTTGAAGTGAAGAAGATAAAGATAGGCAAATCTTGATACCTACATAAGAGGTACTAAGTTGCACTTACTTATTCCCATGACTTTAATAGTTTTTGTCTTAGAAACAAGATTATAAAGAACCTATAGTTCCCTCACCTAAATATTCTTGCACTTGTGTGCGGGCAAGGTAAAGTTTTTGCAAACTTTATCCAGATGTGTATGTAGATTTCATACTTAGATATGTACATAGATATTAACATAGATAAGAATTTTATGATTGCTTAATGTTTTTAAATACTAGTGTTCTTGGGTGTGTAGTTATGTTAGGGAACCATTAACTGAAATTTGGCTTTTATCTCTAAAAAAAATTTAAAGCATGTTGAAGTTGGTAGCATTATTTTTTTAAAAGATATTACATAACTGGGAAGTTAGAAATTTAATGTTTTTTAATAAATTTTGTTTTCATTTTAGCTGGAAACACAACTTTGCCTTCCTCCTCTACAACTTCCACCACAGTTCCTACATCAGGTAATTGAGGCTTTTAAAACTAACTGTGATGTAGGATGTGCATACAATGTTGCCTTTTACTATTTCTACCATCATTTTCCAGTTCATGAATGGTTATGGACCTGAAATTCGTCTTTTAAACATTTAGGGGACCAATGTAGAAGCTGTTAAAATAATAATGACAATTTTGCTAAGAGTCCTCGTCTAGTTTTTAAATGTGTAATCACATTTGGCGTGAATTTTAGAGTTAAGTAATGTTTTTCCAAAACACTTTCAGTACAACTTTATGTACTAAAATTTAATTTGTAACTACTGGTGTCCATCCTTTTTGCTGAGGAAAGCCAAGATCACTACCAGATGGGTTCTTCACCATCCTTCTTACTATTTCTTAACATTCCTCAGAAATTGTTGAAAGTATATGTGAAAATTAACTTGTTATTAACTGATGATTTGACATATTATAATCTAAATCAGATTGAGGTTATGCCATGGGACACAGTTTAGGAACCCTTTTCTCTGTTTACATTCAAAATAAACTGTTGTCTTGATGCTGATGAATCTTTTACCTACCTTTTGTGATTTCTTCAGCTTTATGTTTTTGCCGCTGTTCTCTCTTGTTTATTACTCTTGAAACATTTTACTCCCTCAAAGAAAATTCAGATTTTCATGTTCTTTTTCCTTATGACTTGGTTAATACTTTCTTATAAAATTTGCTGACACTACTATTTTAGATGCGTTTAATGACAAGTTCTTTTGCTTGTTGAAATCATAAATTCCAGATTATTTTTATTTTTAAAAATTTTTTTTAGAGATAGGTTCTTGCCCTGTTGCCCAGACTGGAGTATGGTGGCCCAGTCATAGCTCACTGTAACCTCTAATTCCTGGGCTCAAGTGATCCTTCCCACCTCAGCATCCCAAAGTGTTGGGATTACAGGTGTGAGCCACCATGCCTGGCCTAATTGTAGATTCTTAGGATTATTTTTGTAACTTGAAAAATTGCAGCTGAGTTTTTGACTCTTTTTTTCTTGAGATAGGATCTCACTGGGTTGCCCAGGTTGGAGTGCCATAGTACAGTTGTAGCTCACTGCAGCCTCCAACTCCTGGGCTCAGGCAATCCTCCTGCCTCAGCCTCCTGTGTAGCTGGGACCATAGGAGCACACCACTGTGCCTAGATAATTTTTTTTTTTTTTTAAGAGATGGAGCCTCACTACGTTGCCCAGGCTTATCTCGAACTCCTAGGTTTAAGCGGTCCTGCTTTGGCCTCCCAAAGTGTTGGGATTACAGGTGTGAGCCACCACGCCTGACCTTATACCTAATTTCAAAAGTCATATGAATTTTCAATGCATTAATATTTATACTGATAATTAATATAAAATACATAGCCTGAAGAAATTGCATATTTTTAAAAAGGTTGATATATTCTCAGGGCACAATTTTGCATACTAGGAGAATCTTTTTCTGTTACTTTCATATTTGAAATAGTGTAGCAGCACTGACCACTTGATATCCTTGGGTAGAATGAAAAATGGGTCTGATAAATTGTTGCCTTCCTCCGTTAGAGATAAATTCTTGACTCAAAAGGAAGTACTTTATAGAATTTAACACATAGCAAAATAGGCTCAGGTGGGTCTTAAAATTATGGTAGAGGATCATGAGACTTACTAAGGATTGTCATTTCTTGTGTCTTATCTAACAGGCACAACAAATACCACTTTGACTCCAACCTCACAACCTATGCGAAAGTCTACCTTTGATGCAGCCAGTTTCATTGGCGGAATTGTCCTTGTCTTGGGTGTGCAAGCTGTAATTTTCTTTCTGTATAAATTCTGCAAATCTAAAGAACGAAATTACCACACTCTGTAAACAGACCCTGTAAATTAACAAGGACTGGCGATTCATTCATGTAACTCACTGAAACCAAAATACCATCTTTCAAGATGTCCCACATGGAAGACGCTGTTCCAGGATCTTTAAATTTCCAAAGGATGCATATAGGTTTTTTGGGAGCATCGTCATTGAAGAAAAATCAGTTAAATCATTTTGTTCAACAGAAATATTTAAAATATTCTGCATGAATCCTAGTGGCTGTCTTCTTTTATTTTAAATGGCTGCTGCTGTGGGATTACGTTTTTTTCTTGACATGCCAAATGTAACTTTCTGTAAGTGATGGAAAATGTTGTCTTGTGCAGACAACATCATGACTCTTGGCAGTTTAAATTTAGTCTTTTTGAAGCCTGAAAGCTGCATTATTTTCATCCTAACTCAGGCTGTAATTTAGCGAACACAGTTGAGGAGAGTGTGCCAAATGATTATCAGTCAGGTGGATTTCAAGCTGTCATTTGAAAATTGGAATAAATTTATAAATTTAGTAGTACTAAACTGTATCCTTAGAGTAAAATTTTGTGCTTGATAAGTTATTTTTTCTACATTAGAAATAAGATGCCACACAGGGAATTACATTCCAGATTTAAAGAAATGAATGGAAAGGATACAAACCATTAATGTATAACAGGTTATTGTTCATACTTGTAAAGCACGTTACATCATTAAGAAAATAAAGAACAGTGCCTTAAAAGACAGACTGAAAGGTATGGTGTAGCTTAATGTTTGTGATTTGTATGTTCACATTAAGGAAGGTAAAGATTGGTCTGAAGATGTAATTGATGTGAGCAGTAGCAAACCTGCTTTTGGATATCATACTATTAATATTTAATTGAAAATTTACTTTATTTCAGAGCTGGGAAACTAAAGATAAAGGATATTATACAAAATCAAAAGCCTCCATATATTGAACCTCCCAACATTTTTCTTATGGCTGTTGAAAAGTATAGAGATAAAATTGGTTTAATCATATTTTCCCTTGTACTTCAAAAAAAAGTATCCTAACTCTATTGTACCTTGAAAGGATTTCCACCAAGCTTTCTTGAAAAGTAACTTCTTTCATGAAGCAAGAAGGAAATAAGTTGTTTTAGGATCATTTGCTAACTCTTTAAATGGGACAATCATTTTAAGTTTTCAGACAGCAGATGTAACCAATGTAATTTCAGAAAACAAGGATTGGTTGATCGGATTATTGTAGATTTTTGACGATTGCCCTGGATGAATAGACTGTGCTTTCTCTTTTTCTTTCTCCTCTCTCTTCCTTCCTTGGTTTCAATCCCGTAGTATAATAAGCATGCATACTTTCATTTCTATAATTTTCTTGAAAAGCACTAGTTTTTTTCAGTTTTGGAGGGTTACTTCTCCCTTGCCTTTGACACATTGGATTAGTTCAGGGGCTTTAATTAGTTTGAAATGGGATTTGCTTTTCTAGGACATTAAAGTTTTTTTGTTACAGTTTCTTTAGCCGATAGTGGCTGAGTTTAGCACTTGGGTTTCAGTATTGTATGGTAGGAAATGACAGATTTTTGTGGTTCATTTCATAAACTGAAACTTTGCATTTAGATAATTAAAGGTTCTTAAAATGAAGATTTACTGTTTCTTTGTTACTTGCTGGTACAGCTAAAGTTTGTTTTACTTGCACACTTGTATATACACCTAATGTTTTCAAGTGCCTTAATTGTTTAAAATCTCTGGCTTCAAAGGTATTTGGGAAAAGGTAGGTTTACCTCACATTTTTGTGTTTCCATTAGTAGTAACAATCTAGGTACCTCACAAAATTTATTATGGTGCCATGGCTGTTAGTTTTTAGGGAGTGCTGTAAGATTGATTTGAAAATATACAGAATTTCTATTCCTTCCAAGGTGGCAAAAATTAGCTACAATGATGTAATTGTCATTTACCTGGACAGGAATTCCTTACCACACATCAATGTCGTCAACACATGTAGCAAATTTTGTGAAAATGTAACTTGATTCGAAGCTTCTCCTGTAATTTTGAGCACTGCTCTAACAATAAAAGCATAATATAAAATTAGTTCTTGTAAGTCTGCAGACACGCTCTTGGAACAGAACTCACAGCCTCAGACTCTTTCTTCTCTTCCTTTAGCAATGTAGTATCTTGAGCCATTAATAATTTTTGGGTTTTTTTAATCCAGAAGGTATACAGAAACCTTTTCAGATTTTTCATCTGATTTGTTCATGCAAATGTGCTATCAAATACCTAATTTTACCTTACAGATACTTGTTGCACAGGCAGACACTGCTGTATTTAGAAATTTCTATTTCAGTTCATTAAAAACTGCAAAACGAATCTGTATCATGTACCAAACTGATTTAAAATAAATTTACATGTTTATTGAATTAATCTATTTTTTTATTGACTGAAGTGTGTGTTGCATTTTGATTATGAAATTTAATGCTAGTGAATTTACCTTTTGGTTCATTTGGGGGTAGGTTGTCTACTCAATTTTTATTGCTCTTGTAGACCAGCCAATAATTGCAAAGGTACATATTCATCAGTGGAGAAGAGAGCCTTAGAAATGGTGGTTGGAGGGAGGCCTTGGTATGCCTATGGGTGTGACATGCAAGTTAGTATTCCACAAATCAATAGATACCATGCTCTAGTTTACCAATAATTCATGAAAATACCATCTTATTTTTATATATCTGAAAACTGACTTTCTGCCTTGTTAATTCATATTGCATGTAAAGTAAAATTGGGCTTTTGTTTAGAGCACTTGGTATATAAATAAAAGCCACATGGTGGTGTAAGATCTGGTTATGTTGGTCCATGTTGTGGGCATAATTCTGTATTGAATCACTGGACTTGGACTGAGAATTTACTCTTCTTTAAGCCTTAAAACCTAAAGGGGTAGATGTATAAACTGCCTTAAAAATCATGAACTGTTGGTTTTATATTGGCCTTATATATGGTCAAGTTTGCTAAGTATTATAAAACTGTGGCAAGCTTAATAACTCCCTAAAATGTTGCTAGACATTATTTTGATAAGAATAGAGTTTAAGAAGGTTTTTAGGTAAGAGATTCACTACATTTACCCGTGTAAGTACTGTGTCCTGTGCTCTTCATTGCTTATGTAGATAACCTGTTACTAATATTTTCCTTCTGCCTGAAGGATGTCCTTTAACATTTCTAGTTATGGAAATGTGTTTCTCTGTTACTTGCTGGTATAGCTATTGATAAATTCTTTCCATTTATGTTTGCCATTTTTTTTCTAAGTATTTTGTTTGAAATGCAAAAACTGTTGGCCTTGTTTGTGTCTCTTACACGATTGGTATAAACCGCCTTTGTTTTTGAAAGAATTTGATTGGATGTAGAATTCAAGGTTGACATTTTTTTTTTGCTTTCAGTACTTTAAAGATGTTGATCCATTGTCTTACTTGCGTCATGTCCTATGACAAGTCTGCTGTCATCTTTATTGTTCCTCTGTACATGTCTGTTTTTCCTCTGCTGCTTTTAAGATTTTTTATCACTGGTATCATGCAAATTGATTATGATATGCTGTGGTGTAGTTTTTGTTTCTTGTTCTTGGGGTTTATTGAGTTTCTCGAATCTATAGTTTTCAATAAATTTGGAAGTTTTCCAGCCATTTTCTCTTCAATTTTTTTTTCTTTTCTCGCTTTTTGTTAGGGATTTCAATTACACAGAGGCTGTTAGAAGTTGACCCACAGTTCACCAATGCATAGGTTTTGTGTTTTTTAAAAATGTTTTTGTTTCATTTTAGATCATTTATATTACTGTCTATATGTTAACTAATATTTTCTGCTACGACTAATCTATTGTTAATCTCATTCAGTGTGTTTTTCATCTGAAGACGTTGTAGTTTTCATTTATATAGTATTAGTTCAATTTGGGCTTTTTAAAAAATATCTTTTACGTCTCCACATAGCCAATCATTCTTTAGGTTTTTAGCATGTTAGAGTAAGAAGTTTTAATACCCATGACTTATAATTCTGACATCTGAGTTAGTTTGTATTGATTGATTTTTCTGTTTATTATGAGTCATATTTTCCTGTTTCTTTGCATGCTTGGTATTTTTTTATTGGATGCCAACAGTAAATTTTATCTTGTTGGATGCTGGATAATTTTTTTGTATTTCTGTAAGTACAATTTTGTATTTCTGTTGAGTTTTCTTTGGAGACATAGTTAAGTTACTGAAAACAGTTTGATCCTTAGGGGTCTCTTAAGCTTTGTGAGGGTGAGAGGAGAACAGTATTTGTTCTAGAGCTGCTGCTTCCCCAGTACTGAGGCAAGACCCTTCTGAATGTCCAGTGCCTCCATGAGGCTTTCCAGTGTGGGTTGGTAGGAATGAGCTCTATTCCTAGCCTTGTGTGACCTCCAGGTGTTGTTTCCTCTAAATTTTTCCCCAGCCTTGGGTAGTTCCCTCGTGTGTGGCTGATCAATTCATTGCTGAATACTCGAGGGGCATCCCCTGCACATTCCTGGAGTTGTCTCTCTGCAGCTTTCTCCTCTCTGGCCCACTGCCATGGAACATTAGCTGTCTTCATCTCCCTTGACTTTCGTCTCCATCTCCTCAGTTCAGGAAGTCCACTGGGCTCCGCCTGGGTTGGTTCCTCCTCCCTGCGTCATGGCCTAGAAATTCAAGGCAGTACGATGGGTCAGTGGTTTCCTGTCTTTCAGGGATCACTGTCCTCCTTCGCCTAATTTCCAGTGCATTGAGAAAAACACTTTCATATATTTTATCCAGGTTTTTAGTTGTTTCCAAATAAATGCAGTCTCTTATTTCATCCTGGCTGGAAGAAAAAGTTCTAGACAAGGTTTTTAATGTCTTAATATTTAATTATTCAAGTAATACATAAGTTTAATTTCTGAAATTTATATTAATACATACCAAAATATATTTCTTAATTTTTTTCTTTAAATGTTGCAGATAAGGCGTAAGTCTGCTTGACCATCCCCAGTCCATTTCCCTTCTTGCCCTCCTCCCTTCCAGAGGTAATCCCTGTGATTGGTTTATAATTTATAAACATACAGTTTCGTGTAGCTTTAGAAAGTATATAATGTAGATTTTAACATCATCCTGGAACTTCTCACTCACTACTTGGAGATTTTTCAATGTTAGCATACATGGCTGTACCAAATTCTTGATTTCTATGTTTGGTATAAGTGATATGAATACCATAATTGACATGCGTATTTACCTATTGAAGGATAGACAGGTTGTTTCCAGTTGTTATTTTATACCAATGATTTCACAGAAAATATGTTTGTGCCTACCACCTTGTGTGTGACTTTCTCTAGAGTAAATATGGAGAAGTGGAAAGCTGCATTATGGGGTTTCCATGCTGATTTTTTTTTTCCGGGACAAGATCTTTTACTCTGTTGCCTGGGCTGGTCTCATCATAGCTCACTGCAACCTCAAGCAATCTTCCTACCTCAGTCTCCCAAGTAGCTGGGCCAGGTATCGTGCCCAGCTAATAAAAAAATTTTTTTTTGGAGAGATGGGGATTTACTATGTTGCTCAGGCTAGTCTCAAACTCCTGGGCTCAAGTGATCCTCCTGCCTTGGCCTCCCAAAGTGCTGGGATTACAGGTGGGAGCCACCGTGCCTGGCGCACACTGAATATATTGACAGACTGAGATTGCCATCCAATTCCCACCAGCAGGGTATCACTTGATACTGAAAGTGTTTACATTTTAATATTCTGGTGAGTGAAATAATTTCCTTGGTGAATTGTCTATTTTTTCCTTATCAATTTGTAGTGTTTTTTTAAATTAAAATACAAGATGCTAATCCATAGTGAAAAGATTTTTTTCAGTATTTTCTTCAAGTCTTTGTACTCTGGTTGATACAGACACCCTATTTAATCAGGAGACAGAAGCCACACAATATGAACAGGAAAAGTTTAACACTGAATTGGAGTGATGGGGCATATTATCTGTAGAATTTTAAATAAAAATTTGCAAAGCAGTAAAGAGACCTCTAAAGAATACAGGGATAGCAGATACAGGAAGCAGGCACTACCCACTGTCTCAAAAGCTGAATTCCAGACCTCATCAGAGAGGGTGCAGTCTTGGCTCTCTGGATGGTGAAATTCGTGGTACCTGCAAATCCATCTGAGGGTGCCAGGGATGCCATCCACTGGGAGATGTCACAGCAGTGACTGTCTTCTAGGAAATCATCCAGGGAGGTATGAGGTACACCATGCATATGAGATGCCACACTAGTGGCCCTCCACTGCAAAGCTCTGAGCAGCTGGAGCTGGGCCCTGAGGGTGTCTGCCTAGAGACACCCGAACCGAAACCAGGAAAGGAAATTTCCTCTAGCATCCTGCCCGTGCCCTCTACTGACAAAACATGCCACCTGGTAAAGGAGAAATGTTCATGTGGTCCAGCTCCGCTATCACAGAGCAGGCAATGACAGATTGGGAGCTGAAGGCAATAAATTGATAATGGTCACAGTCTACCCCTTTGGCTACTCAGTTTCCATGTGTCATCCTACATGCTTTAAAACCGAACAATGAAACAGCTCTATTTCTACCTAACAAGATACAGCTATACTTCTTACAAGTCACGTTTGCTCCCCTTCCCCAACATGAGAAGATGAGATGCCCAGTACCAACAGTCACTGTATCTATTGTTGGATATGTTAATTACTCTTCAAGTACTGTCACTGTTTCACCAAATATTCTGCTACCTAAAGACCAAATTGTAAATTTAACCTCCAAAAACTTGCATATGAAATTAAAATGGGGCAGCTGTGGTGGCTCACAACTGTAATCCCAGCATTTTGGGAGGCTGAGATGAGCACAGGAGTCTCAAGCAATCCTCGACCAGCCTGGGCAACATAGTGAGACCCCATCTCTACAAAGTAAAAGATTAGCTGGGCGTGGTGGCCCATGCCTATAGTCCCAGTGACTTGGGAGGCTGAGGCAGCAGGATCACTTGAGCCCAGGAGTTTGAGATTGCAGTAAGCTATGGTTGCACCACTGCATTCTAGCCTGGGCAAAAGAGCAAAACCTTGTCTAAAAAAAATTTAAAAAAAAATTAAAATGGAGAAAATAAAAATGGTTAGAACATACAAATAAATACATATAAGAGGAAAATGGAAAATATTCAAAGCTACTACAGTCCTTGTAGCTGTAAATCTTTGACCTCCTTCCGCTACCCATTTGCCATTTCTTTTGCTCTTAGCCAGAACCTCAGCTGGCCAGGGGTCTTTACCTGGCGGAATGACCCAAATATTCATTACCCTTGAAGGGTCTGAGTCCTCCAGTTGTCCTACCTGTTTTGTTTGCTGTAGTTTTCCGTTAGTCTTTACTATTGACCATGGATGTACTCAGGCACCCAAACACTCCAGTGTCCCAAATATTTTCCTTTTTGCCTCCATTGTGTACTAACAATACAATCTCCCCTTGGTAATCAGGATTGATCATTCCAGCCAATAGTTACACCTTTTGTTGCTTATTGGTTCTGTAGCATAAGAAAGCAGGATGGCAGTCTCATCTTAGAATCTGCTTCAGTCGAACCATGGTTGTGTCCCTGGGAACTGAGACCTCCAAATCAGCATAGCTCAACATTGCCAGGATAAGAAGTATAGTCACTCCCCGACCCCAGTGATTCCTGGACCCATATACTCTGGTTTAAAGCGTATATTGTTAGATGAATCTTTATCCTTTCAGTGTGGTGTCTTCCAACTGTTGTCATAAAGTGAGTGTTCAGTGAACCAGTCCACCTTTCAATTAGATCAGCCACTTCTGGGTATTGGCATATGTTAATTTCATAGGCATGAGCTCACAGCAGCATTTCCTTTGTTGTGAAATTGATTCCATGCTTAGAAGCAATGCTATGGGAAATGCCATGGTGGTGGGTAAGGCATTCTGTGAGCACATGGATTGGAAAGTGGTGCTGGCAGAAGCATTGTGGGCAGGGAAGGCAATCCGTATCCAGAATGTGTCTATTCCAGTGAAGATGAGTCTCTTCCCCCTTCATGATGGAGGCACACACCACATGGCTTTCCCCTTACCGAGGCTGATATGCACTACTGTCAAGTGCCTATGATGTAATCAACCTACAACCAGGTAGATGGCTATTACCCATGGGACGGTGCCACATTGCAGTCTCAGTATTGGTCTCAGCTCCTGACAGATGAGGCACGTGGCAGTTGTCAGGGGGAGCCCATGTTGCTGAGCCCACACAGGCCCTCTGTCCCTAGCACTGTGGCCACATTACTCAGGGACCCACTGAGCAAGCAGCGTGGTAGCCGGGGAATGAGGCCGACTGATAACCTGGTGCACATTGTTTTGTCGACTTGGTTAATGAGTCTCCTCCGCCGTGGATGCCTTTGGTGGGCATTAACATAGGACACAGATATTTTCAGTCGGTGCCCATTCTAAGAGGTCCATCCACAGATTCTTCCCAGACTTCCTCGTCACCAGCCTTCCAATCCTGTTTCTTCCAAGTCCCTGACTAGCTAGCAAACCATTAACAACTACCCATGAATTAGTGTAGATCTGTATTTCTGGCCTTCTCTCAGTTCAGACACAGTGGACAACCAGGGGTACTACTAGGAAGCTCAGTTCACTGGCACAATTTTCTTTCACCACCGCTCTTTGGGGTTACCCTTGGGTGGAGCTGTAGTGCTTTAGCTGTCCACTTTTGGATGGAACCAACATATCATGCAGACTCATCTGTGAACCAGGCTTGATTTTTTTTCTTTCTTGGCCGCCTGGTTATTAAGAACATGCCAGAAGGCCATACATATTGATTGAGGGAAAGAAGGCAATGAAACAGGAGTTGGCGTTAAAAGAGTCTGAGCCACCTGCTCATGCAAGCTATGCTACTTCCACCTTCTAGACCTGCCTGAACAAGCTAAGTCTACTGTGGACCATGTCCATCTGACGATAGATTGCTGCTGTGCATGTCCAAGTTTACGACTAGGCGAGCTAACTACAGCCAGAGTTTGATGGAAAGTTCGGGCCACACGATGACCTGCTATCCCATGGTTAGGCATTCGGTCTCTAACAAGACACAGTAGTAAGCCAGACACAAACTGTTTCTTATAAGGAGAACAGTCATCTTCAGAAGAGGACATAAATTTGTTCCAAAATCTTAAAGGTCTGTCTTGTGATTCTCCTACGGGTGTTTGACAGGCTCCATACAACATCCCTACATGCCATGATACTTTGAGTATCATTGGATCTGCTGGATCGTGAGACGCACATGGTAGCACAGCTTGTACTATAACTCAAACTCGCTACAGAACCTTCTCTTGCTCTGGCCCCCACTCAAAAATGATAATCTTATGGGTGGCTATGTAGATGGGTTGAAGTAGCACACTCAAATATGATATGCGTTGCCTTCAAAACCCAAAATGACCTGCTAAGCATCATGTCTCTTCAATCGTGGTACATGGTATGAGGTGCAGCAAATTATCTTTCATTTTGGAGGGGGATAGTATAACATGCTCCAAACCACTGAACCCCAGAAACTCCACTGAGGTTAAGGGCTCTAAATTGTGGGGGTTTTTTTTACCCTATAGTTTTTATATATTTTACTAAGCACCTAGGTACTTGCTACTTCTTGCTCATCATTTCCAATCAGCATAATGTCATCCCTGTAGTGTGCCAATGTGATGTTCTGTGGAATATCACGATGATAAAGGGCTCTGTGGACTATATCATGGCAGAGAGCAGGAGAATGGACAAAGCCTTGAGGCAAGACTGTAAAGACATACTGTGGTCGTGCCAGCTAAAAGTAAACTGCCTCTTATGGTCCTTGAAAATCGATGTGGAGCAAAAGGCATCAAGCCAGTAACTGTTATACCAAATGCCTGGGTATATTGATATGTTTTAGTAAAGATACTATGTCTGGGAGAGCAGCTGCAACTGTAGTCACCACCTTATTAAGGTGTGGCCCTGACGCTCCCTAGTCATTTTCTAAGACGTCTGCGCAGGCCAAAGTGGGAGTTAAACGGTGGAGGAATGAGTATTACCAACCTTGCTTAATTAAGGTCTTTGGTGGTGGCATTAATGGCCAGGGCAATTTCCCCAGTGTTGTGGTATTGCTTCTGGTTTATTTTCTTGATAGAAAGGGGAAGTTCCAGGAGCTTCCAATTATCCCTTCCTACCATAATTTTTCTTAACTCATGGGTCAGAGAACCAATATGAGAATTCCTCATATCGCTAGTCATGTCTATTCCAATTATACTTCAGGAACTGGGGAAAACCACAGAGTGGGTCCATGGACCAACTTGGTCCACTGTAATTCAGACCTGAGCTAAGACTCCTATCATCTGATCATTATAAGCCTTCATTTTGACTGGTGAGCTACAGTGGTGTTTTGGGTCCCCAGGAATTAGCATTAATTTAGAGCCAGTGTCTAGTTACCACCAAAATGTCTGGGTATTTCATTTCCTCTGAAGAACAGTCATTTTAGCAAATGATTGTAGGTCCCTTATGAAAAGGTTTGGAGGAAGATTCATAGTACGTGCCTGCAGCAACAGTGTAGGGTCCTTCCTCAAGGAGATCCAACCGTTCTTCCTCCTATAGCAGTGGTCCCTAACTTTTTGGCACCAGGGACCGGTTTCATGGAAGAGAATTTTTCCACAGAGTGGGGAGTAGGAGGAAGGGGCGAGCTCAGGTGGTGATGCATAGCCCAGTTCCAAACAGGCCACGGACTGGCACCCAGCTGCGGCCCCGGGGCTTGGGGACCACAGTCCTATGGGGTCCCTCCAGCACCCTCTACTGACAAAGCCTAGCATCTTGCCAGCTGTCAAAGAGGAAATATTTACAGGGTCCATTTTCATTATTGCAGAACAGACAATAAAGGATGAACCCAAGCTGAGATGTAATAAAGTAATAACTGGCAAAGTATCTTGTCATATTGAAGTTTTAGTTTTGATATCAAAATTATCAGTCTTTCTCTTGGCTTTTTGTTTTTTTATATTTTGCTTCAAAAAATCAGTGTGTGTGTGTGTGTGTGTGTGTGTGCACATGCATCTAGATCTTTAATCCATTTGGGATTCATTGTGTACGGTGTAAATTGATAATTTCATTTATTCTGATTAGCCTCAACCTTCTCCTTAATTTGAAAAGCCACATATATCATATAAATTTATGTATGTAAATGT